CTAGCTTATATCAAGTTGACACAGGAGCTGACATGAGATTACCCCTCAAAACTGACTTTGTTATAGAAAGTCTCTCAACCATGAGGGGATGAGCTACCCTTGCAGTAAGGAGAGCAGCCAAGAGAACATCACACCAGAGGCAGCATGGGAGGATGAGATGGAAAGATAGATGGGGGAGGAAGATGGGCTAAGAGAGATGGGGAGGAAGAAGGCCTCCCTTCCAAAACCTGGCAAGCAGGCGAGAAGCTCCACCGCAGAATGACAGGGTCCTGAAGGGAGAGACAGGCCCTTCAGTTTGCTCTTGGAAACCCCAAGAACAAAGGAGGTTTTCTGATGTTTAAAGGCTTTCAGGGGGATGGAGGGAAGTTGCATACCAGGGGATTCCATCTGGCTTAGTCTACCTGTCCAGGGGCACGGGCTCTAAACTTACTATGCAGTTGCAAAAGGGGGCAGGGCTGTCTTACTCACAGCCAAAAGTGGTAGGAAGGAAACTGCCAGGGACCAGGAGAGAAACTGCAGGGAAGCAGCCAGCCAGAGGGTCTGTGATCACTCCTCTCCCCCCCCGCACCGTCCCCGGCCCCATGGCAACCCCCAGTTAGAACTGACAAACAGTTGGTGACTAGCTGCAAGGATACTCAGGGATATGGCCTCCCTTTTCTCCTTACTGACCCCGCCACATGGAGAGGCCTACATGGCAGAAGGAAGCCTTTCTTCTCTCCTGCTCTGGGCATGTTGGACAAGCAAGCCTGTGTGTGTCCTACACTACTGCAGCTTTACCTGTAAGACTGTCCCAGAGGGGTTGTAGAGACCCAGCGACAAAAAATCCTTTGCCTGCTTCTCAGCTGGGCATCAGGAGGCTACGCAGCACCCACAGCCAGCCCTGCCCCTCAGTTTCCAACCTCCCTAGGCTATGGCCTCCACCACCTTGCCTCCTGCCTGGCCTATTTGGCCTAGGATGTCATGGGCCATGCACCGACCCACAGTCGGCTCACTCTTGGCTTAGACATTTTGTCTTGGGAATCCCTTCCTGGTCTTGGTGCTACCTGCTGACAGAAGCTCCCTAAACCTATAACTAGCTGCCTAGGAGGGTCTGTGAGGGATGGTGACAAACAGGAGGATAAGCGGGGTTCATATTCCTCAGGACATGTGACAGACTTTTCAGCCTCCCCAGGGGGTCTAGTTCTTCCTAGGGAGTCTGTAGAGGAAGCTCAAGCCAAGATCTTTACCTGGTCCCAATACAGTCCACCTCTGCTCCTGTCCCTCCCAAAAGAGGGATGTGTTGTAGGGGGTGGGAAATGGGCCATGCAGAGGCCCACAAGGCATAAGGAGTGCCAACCCCAACTTTCACAAGCTGCAGTGTGGTTAAGATGTTTACATTGGCAAGTGAACACATTTAACACACTCCAAAAATTGTGCCATCCCTGGGTTATGACAGTTTGCATGGAAGAGGCCCCTCGGCCTATGGTGTGCACTGCGGTGTGGCCCAGAGCAGACCCAGGCTGGAACTGGATGCCAGCAGCTCCTTTCCAGAGGCTGTCATGCCTGTGCTGCAGCTGGTACACCTTGATGCCCTCTGGAGCTGTAGTTCAGGCAGACATCCTCCCCGGCACTCAGCTGAGAGTAGCAGCCTGACCTCCTGTCTTTCCTTGCAAAGCTGGGCTCCTGCCCTGGTCACCTTCAGTTGAGACTGTGATGTGGACGTGTAAGCCAAATAAGCCCTTTCCTCTCCACGTTGCTTTTGGCCCGTGGAGTTTTAGCACAACAATAGTAACCCTAACTAAATACGTGTGTGTGGTGTGTGCAAGTGTGTGTATGTGTATGGTGTGTGCAAGTGTGTGTAGATGTATGTGTACACATGGAGGAAACAAACCTTCCACCTCACTCACAGACAAGGTCTCTGTGTTGGCCACTTTGTACAGCAGGCTAGTCCAGGAGTTTCTGGTGATGCTGGTCTCTACTTCCCACCTCTCCGTAGGAACATGGGTCAGACACATGCCACCATGCTCAGCTTTACAAGGGCTCTAGGGACTTGAACTCAGATCTTCATGCTTGCATGGCAGGTATTTTTTATCCACTGAACCATCATCTCCTCAGCCCCTTCTGTGGTTTGACTGGCTAACAAGTGTCCACTGTGAAGCATCTGTTCAATTGTTTTTTGCCCATTTTTAAGAAGAGTTCTTTACACTAGCTCCTTTTATATGAAATAATTCTCTCCTAGTTTGTGATGGCCTTTTTGTTTTCAAGCATGAACTTTTTCATTCTTGTTAAAACCAACCAACCAAACAAACAAACAAAACCTCTATGGTACCTTTCTCTTTAGAAAAGAGTATAGAAACTTGCTATGGTGGAAAGAATATGTCTATAATCCTAGCACTTGGCAGGCTATGGCAGGATTGCATGGCTGTGAGTTCGAGGCTAGTCCAGGCTATAGAGTGAAACTTGGTAATGGTACTATGCCAGCACCAAGCATTAACATTTAAGCAGACCTCTGCCAACTCACCGTCTTCTTTATTCACGCAGAAGACAAATGGGAGGCTGGCTAGGCCAGTGCTGCCCTGGTGCTGTATGAACCCCACCAATGGACATGGCCAGGCTGCCCTAGTAAAAAGGTCCTCCATTGTCCCTAGGAGTTGGGTCTGGAAGACCCCAATGGTGTCATAGTGAGCCCTTTGGTTGGCTTGCAGGAGCCTCTCCAAGAGTCAGTTAGTGCCCACAGCAGCCCCACTGGTCACAACCTTTAAGCTAAACAGCTGGTCCAGGAGCAACCATGCCAAGTCTACCTGCCCTTGCACAGAGGATGCCACTCAGCCAGGAAGGCTGGGCAGAAACTCCAGAGCTCATCTTCCATCCTCTTGGTCTGATACCTCCAGCCCCAGTCCCCTCCTCAGCGTTTCCTTCCTCCACGCTGGCTCCCCAGCCTGGCAGCTTGTTGGCTGTGTGATCTCAGGCAAACTCTGAGCTGTTTTCCTCCTTACCTCACTGGCAGGAGTGAGGCATTATGGGAGTATTAGCTCTGGGTCTATACAACCCGAAGCCCAGGCATCTGTGTAAATGTGCGTCTGGAATGGGCCAGGGACTTATGCTGGGATTTTCCCATCCATCAGCCTGCACATCCAAAAGACCAGGTCAAAAGCTCTTATATGCAGGCAGCTATGCTACCTGCCTCACGAAGCCAGGCATCACTCTGAAGGGTATCTGGGACCAAAAGACACAGTGCCCAATAAGACAGGTGGCAAGTTCTCTTGCTCTAAGGCAAGGGCCTGTGTCGAAATAGACAGTATGGGGACACCTCTACTCGAGAGAGGGGAAGTCACCTCCTTGACAGCCAGCACTGCTGAATGTTTAAACCTCCTACCCACAAGCCACCCCGTTCCTGGGCTATGCAAGGGCTGAGGTAGCCTTGTGTAACCCATTCTAGGAATTGTGGGAGGCTGAAGGCATAGCTTCAGGGACCAGCTCTCTGGGGACCCTTAGGGTACCTAGGGCACCAGTCTTGGGACCTGCCATGTTGTCCTCGGGCCACCTCTCTGCAGGACTTTTGCCAGGAGTTACTGGGACAGAGGCCTGGAGCGGGTTCCCTCCCCTGCTCACACCCTCAGGCTCCCTAGGGATACAGAGGCAGGATCTGGTAGTCTCTGTCACCCTGCCTAGGTAGCCTGGGGTTGCTGGGATAGGGCTCTTCTGAGTGACAGCCAGCTCCCTTGCCTGCACTTGGCCTAAGTAGTGTGGACGGTGGGACAGCACAGGTTCCCAAGAGCTCCTGCCCCCTGACAAGTTCAGCTGGACAAGCTGACTGGGCCAATAGTGCATGCTGCAAAGGTCAGGAGCTGGCCGGGTACACTGGGGATGTGGGAGAGGCCGAAGGGAGGGGCTGCCCAGCTGCTGCAGTTCTCATCAGCTCGCCCACTGGCTTTGAGGGTTTGGGAAAGGAAGAAACTTGAGGTTTAATCCACTGAACAAGAAACAGGGTATCAGTCCTCAGAGCCAGGGCAGCTCTGCAGAGGGGAATCCCATGTTGGGAGGCACACACAGTGTTTGTGGGAGGGTATGCTTCTGTTGTCATGAAGCTGTAGTTGGGGAATGTCCCCTCAGTTCAGTATCTTCCCTTCTCCACACAGATCTGGGACATGAGTGATGAGGAGACCATCTGAGGAACCACAGCTCAGGAACGTTCCGGCCTCGGCGCAGGACTGTTCCCCAGGACTGGCCATCTGGGCCCTGCCACCTCCCTGGTTCTGATTCCTACTCCCCTGAGGACTAGGGGTACCCTCTGCTGCCCAGTTCTGCTCTTTCCTGCACCATCTCACCAGCTCTGAACTCAATAACAACTTTGGCGTTGCCACTGACTTGGGGGTCCTTCTATGTGCATTGATTTTTTTTTTTTTTCCTCTCCTGCTGTCAAAAGATTCCCCTGGGATCTTTTCACCTTGGCCCAGTAGGAGTGGAGGGAGCATCTGACTCAGCATAGATCAAACAAGGATGTGCTAGGAGCCCCATGTTGAGAGTACTGCTGTGGGCCCTGGCAGCACCACACTGGCCCACCCTCAGCTGCCGGCATGCTGTGGTGCCACCCTGCTCCAGGGATGAGGAGAAGCTCTTGCCACGGTGCTGGTGGAAAGCAGGGCAGAGCTCTGCCTGACTGGTGTGCAGCTGGACCACAGGCAGGTGCTTCTCTGCGGCTGCTACTGAGGCAGGGCTAGTTTTCCTCCTCATTCCGGTAGGTCCTTGGCAACTGTGGTCACCCTAAGTAGAAGTGCTCTTCCTAGCAGCCCCCCTCCCACACTTACACATCTTCCACTTGGGTCATGTCGAGAACAGAAGCCCATACATGGCTGACTTCAGCAGATTTCAGTAAGGGAGACTTGAGAAAACCCTGGCTGGCCTAAGGTAGAGGCTGCAAGAGGTAACCATGCACACCTGCACAAGGATTCCCAGAAACAGGCAGGCCTGGGCACAGGGCGGCACCACGTGCCACCTAGGATGGAAGAACCACACAAAACCTTGGTTTAAGAGCACTTTATTATTGTTCTTAAGGCTACTTTTTAAGTACAAAAAAAACAAAAACAAAAAAAAAAGATGGCCTGCCAAACCTTTTTTTTTCTTCTTCCAGGAAAAACAGACCACAGAGAATGGTATATTACAGATTTACAAACATAGAGAGGGGTCAGCACGCACATGGGTGGCTTGGTTCTGGGGAAGACACAAGCTCCTGCCCAGGCAGGATGGCGCACCCCTCCGCTGACGTGTGGCATTCCCCTCCAGGACACAGCCTATTCCAGATAGGTCGGTGCCCCAGAGACCCTGCCACCCCCACCCCAACAGCAATGACCCGTTCACTGACGGGTGTCTGAGGCCTGCTGCCCACAGAGCCAGTCCGCGGTGCGGTTGTTTTCCTGTGACAACCTCAGTAGCCTGTAGAATAACAAACTAGTGGCTATGAATGCGGACGCAGTGTTGTCATGGCGTAACTGTGTACCTGCACGATTACAGACACACCTACGACAAAAAAAGATCAACTTTTTTTTTCCCAAACAACAAAAAAATGATTACGATAGGAAAGGGGAAAAATTAAATAGCTACATATCATTAACAAATTAATTGTTCTTCAAAAATACCTACAAATTTCTCTGTACACTCTTTACGCACAGCGTAATGATGGTCTTTAAAATTACCTATATAAAAAAAGTGTTCTCAACAATTCTTTTTTTTTCCTACAGAAAATATAGGGGCCTGAATGCCAAGCTTGGAAGCCCAGGAGAGTGGAGTGAAGTGTGCGGGGCAGGAGGGCTGTCCACTTGTGTGAAGGCCGGTAGCCACCCTGTAACTCGGGTATCAGTCCCCGCTTTCCCACCCTCGCCTGTTTCCCAAGTTCAACAGCTAACCTGTCTTCCTCCTACTGAACGTCAGCCCCATGGGCTCCCCTGTGCAAGGAGTCCATAATGCCTTTTTGAGGAGGTGGTTCTAGCTAGGTGATGTCCTAGCCCTCCTCGAGCGGGCCGGGACAGGGGACAGAAAAGCTCACGGCCGGGAGGAGCAGCTGCTGTGGGGCATCCCCAGCCCTGTCTGTCCTGCTTGCTTCTAATGTCTAGTTAGTAGCTATTAATAGAGCGGGCACTAGTGATGCAGGAATAACTGTAGAGTTATTATAGAGGAATGTGTACAGCCTTGGCCCCGGCATGAGAGGAAGCGCACGCAGCCCCATGTTGCAGACTGTCAGGCACCTGCTGGTTGGCCAGGAGTTGGAAAGGAGCAGTCTGCACTGAGGAGCCTAAAGACATGAACTCAAGTCCCCCACCCAGGATGCAGAAAAATCAGCAGCAATGGGCTCCCCAGCCTACCACACCCACCGGCTGTGCACTCCTTTTCGGAGTGAAGTGAGCATCGACTACACCTCTCAGAAGCACAGCTGTACCAGCAGTGAATGTATCCAGGGCTGTAACTGACGGGATAGGCTAATGCCGCCGCCAAAAAGCCAGTCAGTGCTACAGTCTGAGCTTACAGTCAATAGAAACCAGCTATTTTTCGTATTAAGACATGCACCATGTCAGAAGCACTACGGAGTCCTCCAGCCTTTGCACTAGCCTCACCAACTGCAGTGTTCAGAGACGGTAAATGCCCATGGTCAGGGGGAACCTGCAGTCCAGTTGTGAGCACCTCAAGACTAGAGAGAAAGACCTAGAACCTGCTAGAGACCTTCTAAGTTCAGCAACAATGCAAGCACACATGATCAGAAGTGTTCCCTAGCAGTTTGCCCTTGGTGCTGGCATCGCAGACAGCCGCCCAACAGGCAGCCCTGCCCTCCATAGTGCAAATCAGGACAGTTCTTTTCAGGCAGACACATGTACACATGGACTGAGCTGGACCCCAGGAGGAAGCCAAGCCGTGCACACCCAGTCTCAAAAGCTAAGAGCACAAAGCGTCCGGATCCCCATGTCTTCATGGCTTGTGACTAGGAAAGGGCCGCAGGGTCCCGGCTGCCAGGTGGCAGACCTGCAGAGGTTTCTTTGGTAACCAGGACAGGAAGCAAGGATGCTCTGCTGGACCGATGCTCCATGCTGTTCCTGTTGCCATGGTGAGACCCCTTGTACGAACACCAAAAAGTACAAAACAGAGCAGAACAAAAGTCCAGGCAACATGGTTTTGCGAATAAACCACCCCCCCCCCCCCCCCCCGAATTTTTTTTTTTTTTTTTTTTTTTTTTTTTTTTTTTTTTTTTTTTTTTTTTTTTTTTTTTTTTTTTTTTTTTTTTTTGTTTTTTTGTTTTTTTGCTTTTTGTTTTTTGAAGCACTGACTGTTGAAAGCTCAGGCAAACCATGCAGATCCTTGTGTGGCTGGAGGATGGAGCCCCCTTCAGGAGACCACAGAGGGGGAGTGACTATGGCTGACCATGTGGGCAGTGGGGCTGGCAGGTTGGCCCCGGCGGGAGGCTGACTCTGGGCTGCTGGAAGCGCTGTCCTTGGCCGCTTTGATCTGAAGCCATGTGTCACCTAGTGCTTTGGCAAAGTGGTCATCCACAGAGCCAGTGATAGACACTGAGTTGGGTGCTGGCTCTGGTTCCTTGTAGTTCTTGCCCAGGCTCCGACGGAAGTGCTCTTCCACCACAGGGTCACAGGTGGCAGTTGCTGCAGAGGGCGGATCAGAGGAGAGGAGGCTGCATCAGTGGACCAGGGGACCCTAGTCAGTGGTACTTATGCACCCTGGGTGGAAGGTGACTCCAGAGTGTCTTTATGGCACTAAATGACAATAGTGGAGCCTATCTTCTGTCATCTGAAGCCCGGAGGGGCCAGGGACTAAATGTCCTTAATTCCTCCCCACCCGAGGCATGGCCGGTTCAAGGTACACGGGTGCTCAGAGCAGTGTTTTTAAACTACACACTAAGTGGATTTTAGGGAGAGAAGTTACAGCTCACAGCTTAATCCAGGGTTCCCACGTGCATCAGGCTTTGGTGGAAAACTCACCACTGGGTGGTCTTCGGTAACTGGCAGACCCGGGTGCAGAACAGCCACTGTGCGCAATGGGGCAGTGAGAGAGGTTGCAGTTGCGGGCGCCTGCAGATGCGCAGGTGATCACGGAGGGCCGGTTCTGCAGGAGGGAGAGCAAGTCAGCTCCTCTTCATCCACCGACTAGGCTGAGCTGCTGCCAGAGGGCCCAGCTCCTCTTGACAGAAACCTCCCTGCATTCAGTTGCTCTTGGAGCCCACTGTGCTCCAAACAGCAGGTCTAGGGGGAGAGACTAGATGCACTGGGGTCCCCACCCCTGGCACCTGCAGGTGAGCCGCCCCTGACACACAGCATCTCCCCGGGGCCAGGCCCCTTTCTCCTTGTCAATGAGTGTACAAACACCCACTGGGAACCTAGGACCCGCAGGCCCAGCATGGGTCACACAGAGCTGCACACGGTCTCTGTGCTTTCAAAGCCTCTTCACACAGTTTCTGTCAGAAGCCTCACCCTTTGTTGTCTCTGGGGCTTGCTGGGTGTTGTGCTAAGGTAAGACATCCCTCTACCTTTCCGCTCTTTGTGAGACAAGGTCTTATGAAGTTGCCTTGAACTTGATCAAGTAACTATATTATTATATTGAACCTCCCAAGTAACTATATTATAAATCTGAATTACCAGACCTGGCCTTGTTTTTTAAAAAGTAATAATTTTGCCAGGCAATGGTGGTGCATGCCTTTAATCCCAACACTCTGGAGGTAAGCAGATCTAAGTGAGCTTGAGTTCAAGGTCAGCCTGGTCTACAGAGTGAGTTCCAGGACAGCCAAGACTACACCAGAAAAACCCTGTCTCAAATGCCCCTCTCCCCGAAAGAAAGAACTTTTTTTCTTCAGTAATAATAAAAAAGAGCCCATGTCCTAATCACAGGTTTGTGACCAATGACTTTATAAGATGCAAGCTCAAAATAAAGCCACTGACATTTAACTTTGTGAAACATTACTGGGTAAGCACAGGCCTCTTCGAGTGCCAGGGAAGGGGAGGGAGGGGGACGACACAAGGAGGAGGGAGCTCCCTCATCAAGATCAACCCTGTACTGTGCAAAGCAGTGAAGCCTTAGGAATGGAAGAACCCAAGTCCCTTCAAACTTCAGGACTTCTACTCAGGGTTTCCATGCAGCTCATGGTCCCCTACACCCAGCCTGACCTGGTCACCTCCGGAAGAGAACCAACCATGGTGCTTGACATAACAACATACACACCTGCTGCCGCTCCACAGCCGACCTGCCGGTGTCACTGCTGTTCTTAGTCAGCGCAAGAGGCTGCTCCATGAGGCCAGGGAGGGATGCATACAGGTGGCCACCATGCAAGCTCACAGCCGGGGCTGCGGCCCGCTCAATGGGACTGCGGCTCCGTTCCCGGGGATCTCGGCGGCAGTCTCCGTTGACGGTCTTACTCCTGAAAGACAGGGGCATGCTCAGGGGGATGACTGGCAAGGGGGCTCTGGGGGGGAGCCATGCACTTCCCCCTGATGTTTCCAGGACATTCCTACCCCGGTGTTAAGGGTAGGACCAAAGGATAAGTTGAGGAACCAGGCCCTAAGTGTAGGAGAAGCAACCTTTGGAGCCAAAGTTGGCTTTGTGACCTCCCTCCTTCCCTTCTGGCAGGCTTAGCAGTGCTGCCTGCCTGCTTACGTACGAGATCAACTCGTGCTCAGTTTGACCACCAGTGGTCACTGAGGTAGGATGGGAATGCTGAGGACCAAAGACACCTGACCCATGCTCTGAGCCAGTTCTGATGCGAAGCCATACTGGTGCCTGCTCCTCTGCGTGGCAGTGCCCATTACCACCTCTGTCCAGATAGGGCCCCAAGACAGTGGGGAGCCAAGTGACTGTCTCATCCACTGGTGACCAGTGACCTCCTCTGTATGAGTCTGCTTCTTATTAGTGTAGAAGACGACAATCAGTCGGCAGCACTGTACCCAGAGCAGAGCATGAGAACCCACAAGACCCAGCTTACACACTGTTCCAGGCTCAGCTCTGTCCTCCCTCCATCCCATTGACTCTAGAACCATCACCAGTGCCGTCCGCTTAGGGTCTGTCCCTTTTTAACCAGGTGCCAGAGTGAGCACTTTAAAATTGAAAGGAGACTTCAGAGCCCATGCTTGGCCTGCTCTTTACCACCAGGGAAGCAGGCCATGTGTACTTGGGCTTTGAGCAGGAAGCAGCCATGCCTGATGCTGGGCCAGCCAAATGCAACATGCTAATATTTAGTCACACACCACACACATGTGACAGTCATGCTGTAAGACAGGACACAGCACCACCTTGGGTACTCAGCATCCTTTATCCCCTGACGGCCTCTTATGAAACTGCCCTGCAGGACACCGACAGGCTCACCACTCCCTCCATTCCCCGACCTTGCTGTGTTCATCTCAAGGCCACCTTTTTATTAAGCAAATATGACTTGACAGAGCTCCTTTCAAGTCGCAGCAGCCAGCACCTTTTCCATTAACCCCATCCCCAACTGCCTTCCCATTTTTACCTCTGGCTCTGTGCCACAAACTCGTTAAGCTGTAGCAACAACTGTCCACCGGGGAGGCTGCGCCATATTGTGCTTCTCTGAATGTACATTGGCCCCGAATTCCAGGCACTTGTGCGAGCCCTCAGGGCAGAAGCCACCACACCATTGCTGACGGCTTTTGCCCGTCCTACACTAGCACTGAAAGCTTTGCGGAGACAAAGTCCTGCCTGTCTCGAGTTACAGACCACCTGCACAGAGAAAGGAAGACATCAGGTGCACAACTGGGATGGGCAGACTCATGGGGAGCCAGACTGGACCAGTGAACCGCAGGGCACCCGCAGCCTTCAGATGGACTCTACACTCCCGGGGACTCAAGCAGCAGACACTAACAAGGACAGGAAATCGCAGGGAGCAGGCAATGGCTACAAAAGGAGGTACAATGGGTACAGCACAGGGAGGACTGGGAAGTCCGAGGAAGACGGCCTACAGACGGCAAGACAACTCAGGCAGGCTAGCATCTCTTGTCCCCTGGACCTCCAGGTCACCAGTCCTTACCATCTTGGATCCCCACAGCACTCTTACATGGCCAAGCAATAATGAGATGCGGAGGAGCACAGAATGAGGGGGCACTAGCAGGGGCCTTCAGGACTCGACACCGAGGAAGTCATTCAGTTGGCACTGGGCATGATACATCATACAAAATACCACGGAGCTCAGAACAAGCCTGGGAACTTGCTGGTTAATTTTAGTAAAATTACACACCACTCATATTTCCAGCTCATTTTCCTGGTTCCTGGAGCTTAAAGACAGACATTGTTTTCCATGTCCCTCCCCCTCTGAATGAATCACAGCCCAGTGTGTCCTGTGCCGTCAGGACGCTGACCCAAACCACACACATCCTGCCTCTCCTTAAAGACCAAATTGGTGGAGGGAAAACTAACAGGGGCCCTGCTAGGGCCTAGAAGACTCACGGAGCTGCCTGGGGGCATCGACCTTGCCCATTTCATGCCAGCTCTTTTAGGAGAGAAAGAGGAAAGGTGGGTTGCAAAGAGAAACCACCACACTCTTCTAGGCCAGAGTTTCCTGGGGACAGTTGCCATGTGCTCCTGATCACCCTCTGAGCTCAGAAGACAAAATGTCAATGGCATTTGAGGAAAGCAGACTAGATCCCAGGAACTGCAGCTCCACCTCCTGCACAGCAGCTTGCTCAGCCTTAGGAACCATGCTACGTTGGCAGGGCAGAAGAGTAAGGAAGGACCCACCCAGCCTCAGGCTTCCCACAACACACAGGATATCCCGGAGGTGACAGAATGAGCCTTCCTGATACCAATCTGTGCTGGCGTCACTGTGTGCCAGGGGCAGAGCCCCTCTTGCTCTAACACTGTGCCCTGGGATCCTGCATGGCAGCCACAAGCCCCCTACAGTCTAACACTAATAGTTGGGGGGCAGAAAGTAAGCCTTCAGATCCTCTCAACACCACGACCAACCCGAGGCCATCAACTTTGATAAGAATCATGTCATTAACAAGGACACGATGGCACAGACCACGTCCTCTGTGCCCACAACCAGAAAGCCATGTTCCCGTGTCCACCTCAAAGCCAAGAGAGCATGGACAACAAACACCATTGGGGCTGGCTGACATTTCTGTCCCCTGCCTACACAAAGGTGCTGTCTCACTTTCTGCTCAGTGAAATTTCAAAACTCAACTTCAGGGAACCAACCAACCTATAAATGCCTCATTCCCTCTGTCACAGGAAGCTGAGACCTGAGTCCCTGTTAGGAACCCTCCTGTGGGAGCAGAGAGCATTGTGGGAAGATGGCCCTCAAGCTATTCACACTGGTGGTCCCTTGCTGAGTGCTCAGACCTCACTACGGTGGACTCAGAGTGGGAGACAGGCTCAATGGCAGAGGCACTGTGAAGTTACCTCGCTGGTTGAGTCAAGGACTCCAGGACCTGGCTCTTAGCTGTGAAACCTTCCCTGGCAGAGCAGAGCCCTGTTTCTATGCACCTCTCAGAGATGCATTTGATTCTCTCCTGTGCATTGCCTTTTAATTTCTGTCACAGACTAAATGGGGTCCCCTGGCAGATGTTATGTGTGACCAGATCTAATAAGATGAGGTTACTCAATGCCACTGAAGGGTGACTGAGGTGACAGGCACTCAAAGGGAAGATGATATCGAGACTGGGATTGGCAGCTAAGAAATTAGCCTCCCTCAGAAGAAAAGCAATCACTAGACCAGGCTAGCCTTGAGCTGACAGAGATCCGCTTAACCTGCCTCTGCCTATTCATGTCAGGAAAAAGGAGCTAGAAACCAGTGACCCTGGGGAGCCTGACCCTGGGCTAGCCTCCAGTAATGTGTGTGCTTGTACCTTAGGTTTAACACAAGTCTTAAAAGTTGTTTTTAAAGCTCAAAAAAGTTTGAAGAAAAGATTTTGTCCAGCTATATAATTCTATGCTAAATATTATCAAAAAATGGTGAAAATTAAAAAATGTTAGGCCAGCAAGATGACTCTGTAAGGGTTCATTTGTCTTGCGAGCCCAATGACCCGAGTCGGCATGATGATAAAAATCACCTGCCGACTCAGTCCGCAGGATGCACGTGGCTGGCTTCTCGGGCGCATGGTCCCATCTTTGCACTGCTCTGCCTCACCTCTGAGTCAAACTGCTTTAAAGATCTCCAGAAATCCTCTCCAGTGATGCTCTCTGCTGACTGACCTATAACTAATACAAAGGCATTTCAAAGCTTTAGCGCAGTGGTTCCTAGTGCTGCAACCCTTTTACAGTTCCTCATGTAGTGGTGATCCCAAACACAACATTATTTTCATTGTGATTTCCTAACTGTAATTTTGCTACTGTTATGAATCATAATGTAAATACGATAGCTGATACATCCCTGTTGGGGTCTCAACCCACAGGCTGAGAACCACTGCTTTAAAGATTTATCGTGTATATGTATACAGTGTCCTGCCTATGCGTGTGCCTGCACTCCAGAAGAGGACACCAGATCTTACTATAGATGTTTGTGAGCCGCCATGTAGTTATGGGGAATTCAACTCAGGACCGCTGGAAAACCAGCCAGTGCTGTTAACCTCTGATCCATGTCTCCAGCTCCTGCTTTAGGGTCTTACAGAAACCAGGACTGGCTCTCAGAGAACACGTGCTGTGTACTGAGTCACACCTGGCGTAGGAGCCTAGGAGGCCAGGGTCAGTTAGTGAGGATGCAGAGTACATGGGCCTGGGCCTGGCCGCTCCAGAAGGGAGACAGTTACGGATCTGCTTCCCTGTGCGCCACGGAGAATTCTCCACAGAGAATGCCTGTGGAGCTGGCTCTCCTCTGACTGTCAGCCCAGCAAGCCTGCATGGAGCTGAAAGGAATGCCCTTGCCTGGTGTCCACTTGCCACCACCGCAGCTGGGGAGCACAACACCCCACTCCTCCCCCAGTGCCACACCAGCTCTGAGGTGTCACCTTAGAACTCTGCTGTAGGATGGAAGGGAAAACGAGGGCAAAGGGAGATCTGCCCAAGTCCCAGAGCAGGTAGGGGACAAAGCAGGAGCAACCAACCACTCCTGTAACAGGAGGCAAAGGTTGCCGCCCTTCTGATGAGGACTGGGGACTGGTCCCCACAGCAAAGATCCCCGAGGCTTCTGAGCCATCACTCAAGTCTTGAAAGAGCCTGGCTACGTCATGATGTACCCTCCACTACCACCCTGCTCCTGGGCCCCTTCAGCAGCCCAGGTGTCACTTGCATCCACCAGGAGCTATGACCGACAGCCACAGTGATGCGGCACCCAGGTAAGGAAAAGGCTTCTGGAAGCTGAAGTGCAAGCCTTAAGGAAGAGGATCAGTGCCACACAGTCTCAGAGACTGTCTGCAGCACCACACAGTTCACTTCCTGTCATGTGACGGCCATGCAGAGCTTCTCACACATACT